AGTAGTTGATTGGAGAGTAAAATGAAATGGACAATGATAATAAATATATTTGTATATAAAGAGGATGTGTTGCTAGGATTATCCATGTGTGAAGTGGTTTGGGAGAGGTGAAGCAATCGGGAGATCTCATCAGGGCCTTTTTATAGCGTGAAAATGAACATATGCCAAGCGAGATACACAAAATTTGAAACAAGCATTGGAAAAGCTTGTAATTGAAGATAACAAGGAAAAGGAACAAAAGGGTTGAAGGTCAAAATATTAAAAGGAACAAGGTACTGGGCGGCCTGCCACCCCCTAGTAGTGGGTGGCCCGCCACCCTCTAGTATTGCCTTGTGATTGCCTGCACCAAACAATGTTTACTGTCCTAGCACCATATTACTGATGTGGACCACATCCTTGCTGGACCCTGGATCTACCTACAATGTTGTGTTGAATCATGTCCTAATTCCATCTAACTTGAAATGTTTAGCAAATGTATCACCCACTGGACTGTATGTACGCTGCCTTTGCCTTTAGCTCAATGTAATCCTTTCAATTTCCTCTACATATTTTGGTTTGCCACACATTTCACTGGCTTAGTCAGCACTGAAATCTCCTATAGCTTGATGTGTTTGATCTCATGTTGTAACCACACTGCTTTTGTTCTTTTCCCTTTAAACTCTCATCAACTCAAAACTGAGAATGTGGTATGTTTAATCCATGATATTGTGTACAGCAGATAAGGTATAAAATCTATACAAACAGTAGACAACAATAAATCATTCCTCTTTCAAAGTGAAGAAGGTCAAAAATACTTTCAATCACATCTTCTTTTGTTTATTTTGAATTTTTGAGCCAAAAATAGACACCTGCTTCAACGGTTTGATTGTAAAACAATGACTGTTTTGAATTTTGAAGACTAAAGAAGGCTAAAAAATGTTGAAAGTGGGTTGGTAAGCTGCACAGGTGATGGAAGCAAGAACCATTATGTGAACCATGTATTTTTGTGGAAGGCTCTGTGTAGTTTGAGAGTGCTAATTGCTTCTAGGTGAATCAGGTGATGGGATTAGCAAGTAATTATCACCAGTTGTTGATCTTTTTGGTCTAGTGATTTGAGACAGGTGGGATTATCATGAACATAGTAAAAAGGCACATGTTATTAGCATAGTTGATAAACATCCAAAAGTCTTCACAAATCAAAGGCAAAGCCCAACTGGTCAAGTTTGACCCCCGAGTGATTTGGTAGTCTTCTTGTAGTGTTGGAATAGTTCATTGGGAATCCATAATCACAGAAAGCAATCAAGACAAACTATACATGAGTTGGATTGGAGCTATTGGCAATAGTTGAAGGAGATCAGATTAAGAAGTTGGATATTAAGTGATGAAAATTGATTGGTCAAATCTAATTTGAAGGATAGTGGGTCATTGCGTGAACTCCTGGGTGTGGTACTGGTATTTTTGATGATAGGTTGGATTAGCTTCATTTGAATTGCAGGTCTTGAATATTGCAATGGCCTGATCATGACAATTCAGGGAGTACTAAACAGATATCATAAAGTAAGTAACACTTTGGATGCTTTTTTGATTAATTGTGATTCAATCTAAGTTTTGTTCAAGTCGATTTTGTTGCATCAGCTCATGGATTAGCCTGATCAAAAGTTGCACTTGAATTTGTTTTGCATATTGAGGTCTATCTTGGATAGAATCAAAGATCAGTGGTTTAGATGGAAAAGAAACGTTCGGAAAAATTGATAATTTCCACCTGTGGCCATCCACATCCACGGACATTATCCGAAGAAAACAGAATCCGTATCTACGGAGTGTCTCCGGAATCCTATTAGTGAGCCAAGTAGCAGGAGAGCTGAACTCTGCTCAACTCCAAATTTCTCTAAGTCCCCTTCCACCATACCCCACCCATGTATTGCCTTCACCACCTCACCACCTCGATGGCCCAGTTCACCAGCTCACCGTAGCCAGATCAATAGTTCACCACCTCACCACCAAGCTCGAACCCGCCATCAACCTCACCACCTGTCCACCTCAAATCAAACTCACCACCTCACCACCAAGCTTGACCCCCCCATCTACCTCACCAGCTCACCATATGAAAATTACAACTCGCTACCTCACCACCCGTCCACCTGTGGACCGACCTCACCACCTGTCTATCAAACTCACCAGCTGACCATATATCTCGCCAACTCTTGATCTTTGCTACAAACGCTTTCATCCATTCCTCCGTCAAATTATCATCCAATCCATCTACCATCACCATAATCAGCTCAACAGTTTATCCCTTTCTTACTCACGTGAAATGCCTTCAGCCAAGAAGCGCTCGAAACAAAGTTCAAGCTCAAAGCCAACAACTCGCCAATCTGCTCGCAAGAAGCGCAACCAGTCTCCAGGTAGAGTACCTTTTATCTCAATATTCTCACCAAAACATTGAAACATCAATCAACTCATATCAACATCTTTCATTTGAATTGATCAAAGACCCCAGCACCGATGGGGAACAATCTGATACCTCTCGAGATGACAGCAAAGAAAATTCTGATGAAGACAACGACAAACATCCAGACAAAGACGAAGATTCAAACATTAATCTCAAAAACGCTGTACTTCCCACTCTAGCAAACTATGCCACCGTAGGTGTGGAATGGACTGATACCTACTTAGACAAAGTACTGGCTAGACGAAAGATTGGATCAAACAACCGACCTTCACAAGACATTCTCTTGGAAGCTCAAGCGCTACAGGACACCTTCGAACAATCGCTCAAGATGCTAAGTCTTGCCGGGCACGTCAGTTATCCCACCTTGAGGGCAGCCCTGTAAGTCAAAATCTCATCCTCACGAACAAACGATGAATTGATATTTGAATTCATCTGTACATTTGTATAGGTTCCTCGGACCTAGTCAACGTGCTACCACAGCGTACGATACCTACCGAGCATACAGCAAGAAGAACACCCAGGAAACAGCTAGTAAGCTGTCCTTGCTGCATTACACATGCTACTATCGTGCATCTTGCTAAACTTCCTCACTGGATCACATTACCTACCAGTGCCACCTCGCAATACTCGTCCCGGTTTTGCACCACGTAACAAAGCTATTGGGAATGTGTGGACCAGCCTTGATACCCTACAAAAAGCTATCTTCCACCCCCCCTTCTTCAAACGATTAGCTGAAGCTGTCTTACAGCCAGATAGTGTTCAAAGCTCAATACCAGCAACCGAAGATTCTCTCAACCCCTCTGATTTAACTTCCTACATCCCAACCTTCCGCGAGCTAGTCAATATGCGTAAGGTTGAACGTCATTTCGAACGTGGATCACTCGGCATTCCACAGAGTGTACAAAGTGAAAAGAAAGGTCGTGACAAGGTGGGCAAAGTTGTCAAACAAGTAAGCTGTTCTTAATCCCATAATTTCTAACATGTACTAACATTTCCTTCAAGCTTCATGCACTGCATGCACAGTTTCAAATCGAATTTCATCTTCTTGTGTCATCGTTCACCCCAAAGACTAAACTTGCCAAGGCTCTATGGATGGAGGAGTACACGTCTTGTGATCGATGGGCACAGTTGGTCAAATCTGAGCATCATTTACTTGAAAATTTTGCCAAGAGAGTCCACTCAATGTCCGTGTGATGTTTTCCAAAAAGAAAGCCTCCACCAAATGCCAAACCAGCCACTGCCACCGAGCAACT